TTCCTTTAGAATGCTGCCCCCTCCCCAGGCCTTTGTCCCCGGGCCCTCACGTCTTCTCATGCCTCCCCCGGGCTGGGAATTCCAAACGTGAAAGTCACTCCTGAGCAGAGAACAGAGGGAGAGACCCTCCCCCACCCGCCCCCCCCACCCCAGGGAGCCCAAGGCCACCCAAGGACACACGGTTACGGGGACAGGCAGCAGTGAGGCCCCAGGCTTCCCTGGGTGGCCGCATGTGGTTGTTGTTTGTTTGTTTTGTTTTTTAGTGTGAGTGGAAAGGAAACATTTCCTGGAAAGGGAAAACTACAATTCTAAGAGAAACCTAGAAAGAGATTAGATACGGGGAGGTGAGGAGAGAAGCCGCATGCTTACACAACCCCTCAGAGAACTGTCTCTACCACATCCTTTCCCCAGAGACCCCGGGGAGAAAAAAGGAACAGAGATTCTGCAACCAGAAGATGTGCCGTGGTCGTGGCCTGTGAAGGGTCCAGAGAAGTCCTGCGGCCAAGGGCCACGCTGGGGAACTCGATTTTCCGAACACCTTCGCCAGGACGGGTCTATGTCCACAGGTGGCCTGTGTCTCCTTAGGGCACGGGCCGTCCTCTCTGTGCTGTGGGGTTTCTGGGCTCATGCATGAGGGCAGAGGTTCCAGCCACTAACTCCCCTCTTCAGCGGCTTTCTTTGCCAGAAATTTAGTGGTAAGAGTCACGCAGACATAACCTTTTTAACAAATATCTTCCCATTGGTTTCAGAGAAGAAGGGAGAGAGAGAAACATCCATGATGAGAGAGAATCAGGGATCGGCTGCCTCCTGCACGCCCCCTATTGGGGATCGAGCCCTCAACCCGGGCATGTGCCCTTGACCAGAATTGAGCCCGGGACCCTTCAGTCCGCAGGCCGACGCTCTATCCAATGAGCCAAACCGGCCAGGGCTATAGTTAACCCTTTAACAACACGGGGCTTAGGGGTGCTGACCCCTGCAAAGTCACAGATCCACATACAACGTTTAGCTCTGTAGTTGGCCCTTTGCACCCATAGATTCCATATCCACGGGGGGAGAAGCCGTGGATGGGAATCCCGTGGACACAAAGGACCGGCTGCATTTATTGGGGGGGAATCCCCCGTAGGTGTAAGTCACACAGGTCAAAAGCGTGTTGCTCAAGGTTCAGCTGTATTTGTATATAAGGATGATGCTCTCCTACAAACATCCCAATAATCCTGGCAGCACATTTTCTGCGGGGCCGAGTCCTTGAAAATGTACGTGACTCTCTCCGCCCTCAGCAACACCCCAGGCCCATCATCTTACTGGGTGACCCTGTCTGGGCACCGGACAGCCGACTGAAATCCTTCATGCCACGTCCACCCGCCCCCACGGAGCCTTCTAGACTGCCGCACGGACCCCCTACCCCGCTCCCCTCCGTCCATCTCATCACCCTGACCACGTCCCCCATGACTGGCCTGAATTTTGGGGGGTTGTTTGTTTGTTTAACGAAATGTGGGGTGTTGTCAGGACTGAAACTGGCGAAGCTAATCTAGCTCACTGATAGCTTGGCCTCGAAGCGTTCAAAAAAAAAAGAGAAAGACTTCAGTCAATTGCCTATGTGTAATAATTGGGATTTTATGTTAAAACCCTGGTCTTCCTTAAAAAAAAAAAAATCAGCAGATCTGGCAACGATGGGCCCACATTCCTTTTTCACAACCTCCCCTTGAGCTGACCGGCCGCCTGGAGGTGGACACGTGTCCAGTTTACTAAACTACCCCCCTCCCCATCCGTATGTCACTAGGAAGCGGGGACACCCAGCCGCGTATCCCTGTCCGCCACCAACTGCAGTATCTTGAGGACGTTCTACACTTTCTGGGCCTCGATTTTTCATCTGGAAAATGGGAGCGTTAACACTCTCCCTATGTTAGTCAGGTTCAGCTGGGTTTGCTGAGGTTTAATAAAAATTAATCTCCGAGATCCCAGTGAGTGAACAGAATAAAGCCTATGTCACACTCACGCTCTATGTTTGCTGTCGGTGGATGGAGGGGTCGGGGGGAGCCGGAACCCGAGACCCGGGCATGTGCTGTGATCGGGAATGGAACCGTGACCTCCTGGTTCATAGGTCGATGCTCAACCACTGAGCCAGGCGGGCCGAGCGGGCCCGCCCCTTCTTGGAAGGTGTGTCCCCAGTCCAGTCAGCAGCCCTGTCCCTCCAGGCCCCCTCCCCTCGCGGCTCAGGACCGGGGTCCCCTCTGATTGAGCACATCTCCCCGACATCAACTCCAAAACGGCGTTTGTTTCCGGGCCCTTCCGCTGGGGCTCTGTGTGTGACTTCGCATCGCGCTCGCTGCGTTCCCTCTGCGGGTCCCGGCCATCCTTCGGGTTAAGAACAAGAATATTCTGGGCGCTAGTGAACGGCAGCGTCGGGTGGAAGGTTGCGCTGCTGGGGACAAGGGGTTCAGGGGTGGGCAAACTTTTTGACTCGAGGGCCACAATGGGTTCTTAAACTGGACCGGAGGGCCGGAACAAAAGCATGGATGGAGTGTTTGTGTGAACTAATATAAATTCAAAGTAAACATCATTACATAAAAGGGT